CACCACCACCACCACCACCACTCCTACTCCTCCTGTTTCGGTGTCTGGGCTTCTCAACATTCGACGTTCTTTTGGGTGGCCTTGGAGTCAACATGAATGCAGACCACCAAGTTCGCCTTCAACAGCACTGACTTGCCTTTGCGCCAACATGAGGTAGGCTTGTTATCTTTATTCAGTACTTGGAGGCCACAAAAGGGACCTTTGTTTGCCAAAAGGGCCGGTTTGGAGTTCCACCATAAAAAGGCACCCCCCCCAGGCCCTGAGAATTCAAATGGAAGGGGACTTCTTGTAATCCATCGCTTTGCAGATGTTTGGAGGCTGAAGAGAAGGAGGATGGCAAGAAGCCTCGTGGGGTGCGGCTCCCGTTTGCTCGACAGGTTGAAATCGGTTCCTCGCACTTTTGTCAGAAGGATCCTATTCTTGGAAATCTGCAGGCTCCCTCATTTGCGAAATTGCCATGGACTCACGTATGGCAAGCCAGGAATACTCTGCATTTTTGTTTTGAGCTACGACAATTGCCAACACTACCAAAAGGTTCAGCTTTGGACTTAGACATTGGCCTCCCGCACGATACAAGAGCCGAACAGAACGCACCGAAGTTGCGCTTAGACTGCACCAGAAAGGAATGCCAACAACAGAACTTGATACCTGCTAGTGCAAAAACATAAGATAAACACTCGGATAACTTCATGTTGGATTTTGAAGCCGGGTTCCTTTGGTTGTCATTGTGGTCATTGTCGGATGGAAACAGGCACAAGATTCTTTGGCAAATTGTGGATATTGCCGTCGTTTTTGTAACTCCAGTTCTGAACGTAGCTGTTCGCGGCATTTCTCAATGGTGGTTGACCGAGTCATTTGTTGGCAGCGAGAGGCGAAGCAGTCAGTTTATTGCTTTGGAGGTCCTGTCCCTGCTGTCCAACTCCATCCAGTCAACGCTGGAGCAGGCGAGCACTTGAATGTTGATAGCCCTGGCAAGCAACACAATCATGATGGCCAAGCAAGTATTGCCATAGGAAGGGTCTGAGCCCAATGAACATGATGCCGAACATGAACAGGTATAATTTAGCGCAGCAAGGATGACACCAAAGAGAACTACCTTCTGCTTGTAGCTGCAACCATCAGACATTGATGTTGACATACTGGTTCGTCTTGAGTTGCATTTTGTAACGTGATTTAGAGCTAGAACATGGGACCGTGAAGATAGGAAGAAAGCCAAAGCACGCTTCCAGAGAGTCTTCATACATGGTGCTGTTTGCTGTTGAAATCCACTTCGCAAGGAAAAGATGCTCCCTTCGTGCCATGTGCAGGCCAGAGACAAGGGTTCTCTGTCGAGGGAGGAGGCCAAGCAGGCAGGACATTGGGACGCACGGAAGGGAAAAGAAGGTAAACAGTAGTGTCCATTTTATTTTCCATTATCCCTATACAACCCCAATATGCTATAGTAGTTTCCATTTTGTTTTCCATTATCCCTATATAACCCCAATAAATCCCCTATATAAGTGCTGGCTTTGGGCATGCCTGAACGTCGTATGCTGGATGTCATTGGGAGTTATGCTTGTGCTCTGCCTGACGTTGAGAGTTCAAGCCAACAAGGCTTGCGCAGCCTTCATCCACCACCAGATAATGATAATGATATGTCTCGGTCTCTAAATTGGGCCTTGCATATTGGAACCATCATTCGGAGAAACCGTCCATATCGTCAGGTAATGATGAAAATGGCCCTTCTCAGGCGCGACATGCTGCAAGACAAGCATCGTAAAGTACGGAAGCAGTGCAGTGTAACAAGTGGTGGATTGGGTCATGTCAAGCTGTCAGGAGACTCGAAAGCTTGCAGCTCAGGGGGACAGATTGCGGCTCTCAAGTGGCTAGTCGGGCGAATGTTGCAGAAAGCACGCCTGCTGATTGACGTAATGGTTGGTTCATCTATGTTTCTATGCCCCACTTGAAAGTCACAGTCACGTGGTGCATGCCTGAGCCTTGCTCAGGGGTGCCCTTACGCCCAGGCAAGGCTCCATCGCTCAGTTCAGATGCAGCTGCAGCAGATAATGTCGGGCAGTGCGCTTAGCTTGCTTGGCGTTCTCTTTTCATCCCAAGGTTTTTCCTGTTTGCTTCACCGTGCTCTAAGCGGCTAGTTAGCCTGCATCATGTTGTGGGCGTGGCGGTATCCATGGCTAAAAAATTGTGCGGTTGATGGCACATACGTGGGCTTCCTGGCGCAACAACTCAAGAGCTCCATCAAACACACTCCGACAATCTCCGCACAATACACGTGGACGTGACGATTTAAGCGCAGGGCGGCTGCTTTCTGCCGGAATGACTTGACAAGTAACTAACCACATCACGCGAGTGCTCTCAAGTACACCATTCAGACAAGTTGTTGGGTCAGAGTCTGGCTCATGCGAGGTGCACTGCTGTTTGTGTCCTGCTCAGCGACACGGAAATCGCAGCTGCCCTGGACAATCAAACGGGAGGGTGTCAAGCACTGGCGTGCTTCAGCAGAAGGTTCAGATGTTGCATATGTACCCCTCTTCGCAAGTTGCTGTTGAGTCCAAGCAAGCACCTTCCTTACTTTGTTGACCGAGGTGTGTGCCAATGCAGGGGACTCACGAGCCGTTCTGTGCCGAGGCGGATCCCCTGCCCGGGCCCTGCCGGAGGGATCTTGAGGGGTAGATTGCAGGGCGCATGACCGCCAATGTTGGCTGTTAGGTCGAGCTCTCGCACGACCACAAGCCAAACGAAGCTGGCGAACGAGAGCGCTGGTGACCCAGGTTTTGCAAGTCTCAAAAGGTCACGCGTTCTCAGCTGGAAAAGCATGTGCATTACAAAGGCGAAGACAAACCCTCATAACCCAGCATAATAACGTAGTCGATCACAACAACCGCTGTACTGAGGCGCCAATAGGAAGAGTTCATGCTGCCATTGAATCTGAGGCATTGAAGCTGCCGGGGGGCGCATCGAGGAGATCCCCGTGGGAGCACGCGTTCGGAGCTCAGCAAATGCGACTGATGCTTTGGCAAGGCCCCTGCTTTGGAGTTGTAGAGCCTCGCATGGGTCTCTAGTGCCGGCCTGCCTGAATTCGAGATGGTAAAGATATCAGGAGTGCCTGCTGAGGTCCATTACCGTGTGAACGGCAACTTGAATCTCTCGCGTTCCATCGGAGACCTTGAATACAAGCCTGATTCCCAGTCAGTATACGCAAGCATGGGCATACACACACCATGCCACCCGTCTTGGGCTATCTGAAGTCTTGACAGACGTGCCGCTTCCTACTCGCCCGAGGAAGCAGCCCGCCTTGGGCCACGAGCGACAGATGATCTGCTCCACGCCGCCACCCCAGAGCCCTACTGTAGGCTTCAGATATCTTCAGATGCCGTTCATGCTGTAGAAACTTCGCACATTGCAGCCAAGGCCCGACATCGTCAAGATGGCGTTGAACAAGGCTCAAACAGCCACAGAGATCCACAGAGCTTCGCAACCCAAAGAACCTGCTGTTTCGAGCTGCACTTTTCTAAATGTGTAAATGTGTGTGTCATGGTAGTGGATGTATTGGTAGATGTTCGCAGGAGGATGACTTCATCGCGCTTGCATGCGATGGGGTGAGGGACTTAGGGGCACGCCACGCAGGCTTCAGCTACATGAAAGTGGTCCGAGAATGTAGGGTCTTGTCCAGGCCTTGTTTAGCCATAAGAGCCTCAAGATGCGAGCGAGGTCTGGGACGTGAAAACAAACGCAGACGTCTGCAGTTTCGTCAAGAAGCGTCTGGCTGCTGGAGAGGACATTGCCAAACAACATGTACATAACAGAGGTTGCTAAACTGGAAGATGCACCCTGACTAGATGCTGCAAAGGAAATCGTGCCGGCAGTGGAGGCTTTGCTGGACGACTGCATTGCTGAGGATCCGAAGAAGGCCAGCTTGCGGTTTGACTTGAACATCTTCAAGCCAAGGCCTTCAAAATGGCATAGGGATCATCCAGGAATTCGCGTGGCGTGTAACACGACGTCTTTACAAGCTGCCTGCTATCATCAGATGGGAGCCGATTGAGGTAACTCCCTGGTTTTCGCCTACTTCTTTGGAGATCTTTTAGAAAGGTAGTTTTTTGGAGCTAACGCTCACACGTGCAGCCGTCTGCAGAATTTTTTCGGCAAGTAAGCGCCTCAAGCAGCCGTTCAGACCGTTTACCTGTGATCACGCCATCGATCTGCCCCAGCTTGGGCTGAAGACAATAGCACGGCGTACGTAGCAGGCTTTGTTGCAGCTTCGGATTCTCGTGCCCAGGTATTGTGTTCAAGTATTACATGAGGGATGCGTGTACTTCAGCAGTGTGGCACGAACACCACAGCAAGTTGTTGTGGAGTACAAAATGTACTGAGTGACATGTGAAAGCGCAGGGCACGAGGCACCGCTGTAGCCGCGGGCCCGAGCTTTCAAAGAATTTTATTCTTGCGGCTAAGCCATGGTTGGGGCTGCTGAGCTGGACATGGCCTTTGCCTCTGGCGCCCTCAGCGCTTGGGCGGACACGTCTATGACAGCGCCGGAGGAGGTTTGCGATCGCATGTTCGAGGGTGCTCGCCATGCAATCATCGATTTTGAGGCGGCCTTGTCTCCTCGTGATCGGGGGCTGCTGCGGCCGCTTCTTGACCTTCTCACAGGATTAAAGTTGAGCGAGAGCAAGCCCGTAGCTACAGCTGTGCTAGGGCCCGGCATGCATGGTGTGTTCTCTGCCATAGAGTGGGGTCAGGCGAACCCCACTGAGTTGGAGATCATTAAGACAGCCCTGCCACGCCTTCAGGCACTTGCTAGGCCTTTAGGACCGTTCGATTTGGCCGTGGTGCGCTTGATTGAGCTCACCGTGGAATGCCAGGTCTTGCCGACATGTGTTCAGCACTTTGGTGTCTTCATGCAGCTTACCTCGCTTGTCCAAGTTGTTAAGCTAGCACAGCACCATGGCTCAAGAGCTGTGGGAGAGACTTCGGGCCACTGGCCTCCAGGACTTAGCTCCAGTCCTCTTCGAGCATGGCGTCCGGGAAGTGCGGGACATCATGGCCAACGCAGCGGCCTTGCTGGTTAGCGGGGTGGAGTCTTGGAAGCTGGAGGCGATCATCCGGGGACGGCTCGAGACCACTCTGGCTCTGGCACCGGGGCGCCCGGACCACCCGGTGGCCGAGGTGCGACAGAAAGCGTCGTGGGCCGCGGCGCTGGAGGCGGCCCTGCCTCAGAACCGCCAGGCATCGCTTGAAGCTTTACAAGCAGCGCTGCTAGCTGCCACGACCAGGCCTTGGACAGCAGGCTTAAATCATGGCGAGAGCTAAGCGCGGCCTGGGAGAAGCCTCCCTTTCCAGTTAACGCAGAGCTAGTGCGTTGTATTGGAGCCTCACTGCGGGCTGGTGGCTACCACTCTTGCTCCCTCTACTTTTCTGCCGCGACTTCGCACCAGCTCCGGACCTTGGCGTTGCCCATTGGCGAACAGACCAGGTTTATTATACGGGACACCGTTCGTGCCATAAAGCGCGGCTTAGGCCCCACCAAGCTGAAGGATTCCTTTGACTTCGAAGTTCTCCGAGCTTTGGTGCGGCTGGAAGAGGCACTGCGTGCCTTCGACGAGCGGGACATGGCAGCGGCAGTTGACCTGTGCATCATCTGTACTTGCCATGGTACATGTTGAGGGAGATCGAGATCTCCAATGCACGGGCCCATCACTTGTACTTGTCGGATCCTGATTCAGTTCATCTCCTACTGCCTGTATCCAAGACGGAGTCTCAGGGGAACTTAACTGTGAGGTCGTATCTGCGTGTGTCGCGCCAGGCAGGAACCTTTGTGCCCATACCATTGCGCAAAAGGCACTTGGAGAGGTTGCGGTTGGCTGGCGTCGAGACCTCAGCAGAGAACACTTCTTCGGCTGCCTCAGAACATCCGAGCTGCCACGGCGTTGGGGTCGTTGCCTGCCTCGTCTACTTCCCCACCCACGGCAGTCATGATCCTCCGCGACGAGGAACCGGCGACGCCGCCAGCTCGGCGCCGAAGGCGCGGCCGCGCTGACCCAGCTCCTGATGGACCGCCGCCACTTCTGGATGAATCCTCGCTCGCAGCGCCGCTCACAGGGATCACCATGGACCAGGTTCGGGCAGAGATCGCCAAGGCTATACCGCCGGTGCGGGAGAACCTCATCGTGCAGCCTCGACGCCGCGTCGCTCACGAGATAGGCGTGCCCGAGGCGCAGAATGAAGTGCACCGCTGGCGCACCACATGTGGTTGGGGATACGGCTGGAGCAGCTACTATCGCGTCCAGGCAGACAGTTTGGGCCCAGAGTTGCGGCGATGTAAGCGCTGCTTTCCGGAGGCGGGCTGCCCTTCATCCAGCTCTTCCTCGAGCAGCAGTTCCTCGGGGTCCTCTAGCTCCTGAGGGTTTTGTGCAGATGCCTCTTAGTTTTGGCGCCGGCGCCCGGAAGTTTTGCGTATTCGGGGCGGGTGCTCTGGTCCGAGTGAGGGCCGAGTCACTTCTGACATAGAGCCCGAGAGAGGGCCGAGCACGGGCGAGTCCGTGTCAAAAGTCGGCACGCGGAGTGTCGAGCATGCGTAGTGCCAAGTTGTCCCTCCTTAACTTGTTGTGTGCCCACGCCTTGCCCGCCAGGATGCGTCTTTGTCTTCATCTTCTTCGGCATCACCGCGACTTATGGAGGCTGGGCTGTTTTCACCTCAGTGGGCCTCACCGCCCGTAACGCTAGAACCCCCCCTTCAGGAAGAATTGACTACCATGGACTGACCAGAATTTGAGCGCGGGGCTTAGGATACTCGGGCCCGCGTGTTGGCCATCACCTTTTGCTGCCCGCCTGCGCGTGAGCAGGCGGGATATGACACGAGTTGCGCAGGGCCAATCTGCTGGCCCGACAAACGGCCCTTCCATTCGGCCAGCATCAACTTCCTGAAGAACTTCCTCCAACATGTGCTGCCAGTGTGGGTCCAACCTGGAGTGCTTCAACTTCTCATGCACATGGTGCTGATTGAGCTGTCTGAACGCCTCCAAAGAAATGGGGTTGGCATACGTGTCGTCCAACCTGGGGCGCCATCCCGGCGTATGTCTGAGTTCTCCTAAGAGAGGAAAACCGGTGCGGAAGTCTTCCTCCAAGGCCTCTATGTCTGGGTAGCCACAATCCCTGAGCAGCTTGGTAAAAGCAAGGACCTCGATGCGTGAGTGTCCGTGTGGGTGCAGTGTCCTGGCCACGTGGTGCGGCACGGATGCGTACCACTGATCTGTGTCCTGGCGAAGTGCTTGTACTAGACGTTCGACTTCTGACAAAACTCGAGCTCTATACGAGTCCAAGGCCGGTGCCTGAAGTCGAGAAACTATGTCCAACACGACCTCGAGACCAGGCTCAAGCGGCAAACACTGCAATGCGTCAGGCTGCAAGCACTCGCTGCCTCTCCAGTGATCCCACATGTCAGTTGCGGGGGGGACGCCCCGAAACACAGGCGTCTTAACCCTGGTGATTGGAAACTTCAACGCCCGAATCCCTGCAAGTGCTTCTTTGATGCTGCTGCTGGACTGGCTTGGGTCTGACGGAGCCTTGCCCGGGTCCTCCACTACAAACATGCCATGCTCGAGCACTATGCGGAAGAGGAAAGAAGCAACTCCTTTGTGCCACGAGTTGCCAAGGAGACGGTGCCAGTCTCGATCAGTGCACGTCTCGTACTTTGTGAAATCTGCCGGCAAGTGGTGCGCTTGCTCCTTGAGGAACGGCGGCAACACTTCCAGCTTCTTCTGGTAATGCCACGGAGCAAAGTTCCTGGAGTCGTCCAACCAGCGTTGACGGGTCGCAGAGTCGATGTGGGCTTTCATCCGCTTTGGCGCGCTCCGACCGGATTCGGTCGGAGCTGGAGTGGTGAAGCACGGGAGGAGCTGCAAGCCCGCGAGGACCTCCTTCCCGAACATGTAGCCGCGCATGTCGAACTGCGCCAGGTCGTCCCGTCCGGACGTCACATGTAGCCGGTAGATCTTGCCACTGCGAGTCCACTTGTAGTCCGTGCACTTGGACCAATCCACTCTTGTCCACCACAGTCTGGGTCTGGAAACCAATCCAAAATCGGCCGCATCCACGAGCACGGCCTCCGCCTTAAGACGTCCATTGAAGTAGTTGATGTCGCCATAGGCGTTCATGAACACGTTCTCCACCAGGATGCCCACCGTTCGGCCGGGCAGTCGTGGGAGGAAGTCGTCGAGGAGGTCGCACATGGTGCCGAAAAGCTGGCCTTGGTCACCTTGCCGTCCAGGGCCATCCGTGATCCTGCTGTAGTCTAGGCAGGGCGCCCCGGCTGCTATCATGATCCGAAGCTTGCCTCTGGGGTCAATGCGGCGGATCTCTGCGGCGAGGGAGGCTCCGGTCTCTGCGGTGACGTCCCCGCGGTTCGTGATGATGCGTGGATCTGCTCCATGGCCACTGCGGCAGCCTTCTCGTCGATCTCCCACACCAGCACCTGCGCGAGCTTGACGTGGTCTTGCAAAGCCAGGATCGGCGCGCCTATGCCATCGAAGAAGCTGAGAAGGATGATGGCGTCTCCGGCTGCTCCAGCGGCCCTCGGCTTGGCTGCCGCGGTTTGCGCCGGCTGCTGCTGCTTCCCTGCGGGGGCAGGCTTCGGCCCTGGATTCTTTTGGGCGGGTCCCCCCTCCTTCCAGGGCTGAGGAGGGGTCCCCTCGGAACTTCATTCCCGAGATGCATGAGGCTTCTCTGCCCGTGCCCATCTTTGGCGGCCCACGTCTGCCGGTGTCCACGCTGCTGCCACTGCTTCCCCCAAGATGATGGCCCCAGTAGCGCTGCTTGCCATAGCCAGCCGTTGAGTCCTGCTGCCGGCCTTTCCCGCCGCCTTTGCCGCCCTTGCCGCCTTTGTGCGGCTTCTCTGGCTCCCATGGCCGCTTCTTCCCCGGCTTGTCGGGATTCTCATTGACAACCTTGGCCATGGTCTCCTGCCAGAGGATGTGGTCGCCAATGATCTCGTCCGCCGCTGCTTTGAAAGCCACGCCACGCCTCATGGTCTGGGCCAGTCTCCAGGAGGCCGTCTCGTAGTACAACTTGTACTGTGTGAGCTTATGCGGCATGCTTCGGGCCTTCCGTTCCAGGGTGTCAAAGAAGGCGTGCACGTCCTGCTCGTCGCCAATCTGCAAAAGGACGAAGAGGTACCTAATGCTCTGCAGCCCATCGAGGATCGACAGCATAGACCTCGGGTCCCATGTGTCCTCAGCAGCTTCCGCATGGAACTCTGTGACTTTCAGCTTCGTCTCCTGTTTCCTCTTCGTCAGGGGGTTGAGGTCCCCGCTAGCAGAGAAGGTGCGGCACTGTATCACGGATCCAAGTGGGATCGGTGAATAACTTTTGGAGTGCTCGTGCTCGAACTGGGCTTTCGCCACAATGGCCTCTGCTCCCAGAAGAAGAGCCTCCGGGAATGCCCGATCCCGGCCCCCAATCTGCTGCTGGTTGTACCGTGCCACCAGCTTTTTCCATTCGCCCGGCGCCAAGTCTGTAGGCGCCCTGACAGGCCGATGCCGATGAAGGCGCAGCTGGCGCTGGAGCCGCAACCGCCGCGGCGGCCGCAGCAGCTTCGTGCTGCCTCTGTTCTATGCACAGTTCCCGAAGGTACAGGAGAGTGGCTTTCCCAATGGCTCGGCCGTGAGGCGAAAGTTTTCGGCTGGTCCTTGCCAGCCGCCAGCTAGTGGCTCGATGACCGCCTGCGCAAAGCTGGCCTGGTCCGCCGAGATGAGCGCAAGTGCGCCTATGCTTCGCAGACCTCTCTCGGTCAGGTAGCGGGCACACAGTTCAGAGACGCCCGCTTTCGCCACAAGGGCCGGAAGGTCATGTACCCTAGCCGTGCCTGTCATGTCGGGACTAGCAGGCGGGCAAACTCAAACCTGACTGGAGCCATGCAAGACAATCGCCCGAAACTTTTGGGTGCACAATGCTCCAGTGTCAAAGCTTGGCTCTGAGCATGCCTGATGCGCAACAGAAGAGGCTGACTTTTCTGGGACCCGCACGTCTCCTGCTTCCTCTATGTCTCGGTTGACCTGTGGCCCGAGTCTGTCTAAAGCTGTGCTCTCTCTCGAACACAAGCCTGCAAAAAGACTGTCGGTGTGGCATCCCGTGGGATGCTGCCAGTACCTCGGACAAGCGGGGACTGCTTTGTTGCACGGGCCTTTAGCGTGTCCCAGGTGGGTGCAGATGGGAGTCAGAAAATCAGGCGATGCGAGGATTATCGCCGTTCGTATCATAATTCCACCATCCAGGTGGGAGACCGTCCTGAGCATGACGACATCGAGGTGTACATCAGCGTGCTCCGTCGAGCACGCTTCCTCGGCCTCAAGCCACACATCTGGTGTCAGGACTTTTCAGATGCTTACAGAGCGTACCCCGTTCAAAACCCTTGCCATGCGTACATGCTGCTGGGAACAGCAGCAGGGCCAACATGGCCAACACTGTGGCGGCACCGAGCTCTGCCATTCGGGTCCACGGCTTCAGTGTGGCATTTTAACAGGATTGCCGACGCCATTTGTTGGCTTTGCAGATGCTTGCTCTTGATTATCATCATGCATTATGTGGATGATCTGGGTGGGGTTCACGATGCTTCCGATTCATCGAGTGCATTTGTAACTTTTTCTAAGTTTTGTGAGTTTTTGGGGATTCGCCTGAAGACTTCCAAAGCACAGCCCCCAGCGACCGAGCAGAGCCTGCTAGGCGTCAGGATTCAGGTGTTGCACGATGGGGTACGCGTGGCTCCGGAGCACAACAGGTTGCAGAAGCTCAACGTCATGATCCAGGATTCTTTGAACACTGGGGAACTCCAGCGGTGGCCTTCGTGAACAGCACGGCATTTGGCTGCACAGGGGCAGCTGCCCTTCGGCCGAACTATGCTCGCGCGAGCAGCAGAGTTGGAGAGTCGTCCGCACTGAACGTGGGCCTGGCGGCAGCTCTGCGGGCACTTCTTTTGCTGTTGGCGAACATTCGCCCGCGCTTTGTACCGTTCCAGGCACAGGGAGTGACTGCATGCATATATACGGATGCATATTTCGAGCTGGGTGACGTCAAATGGCGGCCCACTGACCCTGGAGTGCCGGAGACATGGAGCCGAGACACTGCGTTGAACAGCCCCAACGGCTGGGGCTTCATAGTGCGTATTGGCACAGTGGTTACTTACGGCCACGGGTCGGCTTCGGCTCAGCTGTTGCGTCGGTTCACGTCACGTGTGCATACATCTACTGTCTACTTCCTCGAGATCTAGGCGCAACTGCTTGCGCTGGTGGCCCATGCGCACGTGCTGCCCCCCTTTTGGATCTCCTGGATTGACAACACAGCCGGACTGTCGGCGTTGGAGAGAGGATTTGGCAGGGATCAGCACGTGAATCACCTTCTGACGTTCTTCTGGACGTTGGCTGCCGCGAAATCCTGGATGCCACAGTTTGAATGGGTTCCTTCAGCACTCAACCTGGCAGACCCCATTTCTAGAGGAGACCTCAGCGTGGCCGAAGATGGCTGGCGGAGACTTGTCTCTGACACGAAACCCTTTGAGAATCTCCTGGCGAACCTTCAAGCTGGCGAGATGGACGAGGCGATCCACAAAGCACAGAGGCTCAACTGGGAATGGGCCTAGCTGCCGACGGTGGGTGGGGGCCGGGCGCCGTCGGTGGGTTCTGCTGAAACACCCGGCCCTGGTGGCTCTGGACATCGAATCGGCCCACCAGATCAGAGAAAAGGAATGCATATGTCAGTGCTTCCGTAGCGAGCTTCATGTCTTGTGCCGAGTTTCCTATCATCCAATCAACTTGCAATCCTTGCTAGGCAGTTTCTCAGAATGGCTTTCTGTTTCTCTTGGTGCTGGCAACATTCCACCAGTTCCAGCCAGCACGGCAGCTACACTGCTTGTTCTCAGCGTCTGCTCGCGCTCTCTCTCTCTCTCTCCCTCCCTCTCTCTCTCTCTCTCTCCATCTCTCTCTCTCTCTCTCTCTCTCTATGTGTCTGATCTTGGACCAAAGTACATCTGATGTGCAGACGCACGGCCTTGGTTGTGACAACATGACCTGCGCCCTCACCTCAGAATTCTGTGCTGTGGTTGCATCCAATCTGCAAGCTAAGTGGTTCCGGGACCGATCTTTCCTTGCCTTTCAGTTCAAGTTGCGTTTTACACTGGATCTTCTTTGATTCGCGGTTCATTCTTTATTTACGTGTCGGAGCTTTAGCAGCACCTTTTGAACTCCAAGATGATTGTGCAGCTCGGCAACCACAAGGACAAGCTGTGACTTGAAAAAAACCTGTCTGAACAGTTAGGGCGAGGAGATACACAAGCTCCCTGCCAGCTTTGTAGTGCCCAAAACCATGCCGTAAGCGAAATCGCGCACAAGCAGCGCGCGGCAAGAAGCCAAAATACCGGTGCTCACTGGCATTCATGCGCTCTTTGAATCTCCGACAGTTAGTGAGGCAGTTGTCTTTGCTCGTGGGCGGTAGCTCTGCAGCAGCTTGAACATTCAGTTTGGGATCATGGCACGCCACTTTGCAGCTCTCAGTAGCTTTCATGACAGGATTCTTCCGACATGCTCACGAATTCCTGACGAGTATTGGGCTGCCGTTACAAACACCGATACAAGACTTACAGACTGCCCTAGCCAACAAAGTTGTACACAGACAACAGGATGCAGATCCAGATGCGGCCTAAACTGCCCAATTGGTAGTCCTCATGCGTTTTTCCCCAGCGATTTGTGGAGATGGCTTTCCTTGATGCGGCACCCTCAGCAAGCAATGCAAAAGCGAGCAGCAACGTTGCATTTGTTGCAGACGCATAGCTTCCCATGCTATTCAAGATCAAAGTTGCGGTCCAGGTCGCCGAAGTCAACGGCAGTGATCCAGCTGTTGAGGCTCGTAGAATGTCACCCCACCCCAGAAGTGCACAAAAGCAAGCATCTTCCTGGGAGGCAGCTCGATCTTCCTTCAAATGCTACCAAGGCCATGGGCTTGAGAAGCACAGTGCAGATACAGATGGTCCCCTGTGTCTCTCACTGACTCTTTCTTCTCTTGGCTTGTTTTGTTAGCCGTCTCAAGGGGCTGTCTGTTGATTCAACCTTGAAATACATGAGAGGGGCATCCGGTGAGATGAGGGTCCAAAGCTGAACAGGCGCAGATACGTGCCGCTTACCTTCGAAAAGTGAAGGCCGGCACCTTTTTCTTGAAGAGCCTTAAGTCCCTGAAAGGCAGGAAGGTAAGTAAAAACGCTGTGTGTCTGTTCCCGAAGTGTTTTCCAGCTTGCTCCTATCAGCATCATTCCGATCGATTAACAGCTCATCGCAATCAGTCAGGTGCTCCATCCTGACGTTGCGGGCAAGTCTGCGGAGGCATGACACTTGCCTGTGCTGGCTTTTGTGTTGCGGTTCATGGGCCGCGAGAGCTTTGAGACATGTGCTTCTCGCGGCTTCGAGGAGAATACTGCGAACATGAGGGGTTGCCATCTTTGACCACCTGATACGTAGCTATTTTCTGGAAGTTGGTGTGTCCTCGTTCAATGCTTCCAGCCAATCTCGCTGGCTCTGACTGGCAGGAGCGGTTTTGCCAGCTAAAGGAGGCCGGGAACTCACTCGGTGAAAGCTCAAATCACCAGGTCTTCCTGCTAGAGCTGTGTGGGTAGATAATGGAAAAGAAAATGGAAACGACTACATAGTATATTGGGGTTATTAGGGATAATGGAAAAGAACACGGAAACTACTACATGTATATTGGGGCTATACAGGCATAATGGAAAAGAACATAGAAACTACTACATAGTATATTGGGGTTGTATAGGGATAATGGAACAGAAAATGGAAACTACTATATGGAATATTGCGGTTACAAAGGGATAATGGAAAAGAAAATGGAAACTTTGCCTACAGTCTATCGCAGCCAGCAAGCCTCCAAGGATTACGAACACGCAATGGAGCAGATGAAGAAGGCGCACTTGGCATTTGCTACTTGCTAGCTGGTATTCCGCTTTTGCAACTTAACCCGAGGGGTACAAAAACACCTAGCCCTAAACCCTGGCAGTCCATATCCGGGTCCGCCTAGTTACCTACTGGTTCTTAGTGGAAAATATGGGCAATATGGGCATAAATTACATAGGGATGATATGGGGATTATATTCTCTTATCCCTAGTAACAGTTAAGCAAATTTGCAGGTGCCAAAAATGATCAGAATCACAATAAGAATAGTTTTAGGAATATTCATAACAGTAACAACAGTAATAATAATGGAAATAATAATAGTAGTCGTAAGAATAAGAATAGAAGTACTAGAATTAATGACACGTTATGGAAACTACTTGTAGTGCTGAACGCTAGCAAAAGTCCAGAAGCTGCTCAGGGCTCCATCCAGGGCCACAATGCGCAACGCCCCTTTTTTGGCAAAATTAGAGATACCATGGGTTTAGGCTTGAGGGTTGGGCTTGTATATAAGAACTGTCTGGGGATACATAGCATTTAGGGGGTAAAGGAGTCGCTTAGCCAACACTTTTCTGGGTTGCTTAGCCCGCTTTTTCAGGGGTCGCTTGGCCGCTTCGCAAACGAGGAACTGCCTTAGGATTAACATGTAGGCTGTGTTAGGATCAGACTCGGCAACATGGGCCACAAGGGCCATCTTGAAGGCCAGCTTCGGGTAGCATCCAAAACCCCGAAACCCTAAATCCACAGCCCCTTAACCCGAAGCCCTAAATCCAAAACCCCTAAACCCTAACCCTACATCCAAAACCCTTTTAACCCGAAGCCCTAAATCCCAAACCCCTAAATCCTAAACCCTCGATCCAAAACCCCCTAAACCCTAAATCCAAAACCCTCATACCCTACATCCAACACACCTAAACCCCAACCC